GTGGTGCTAGTGGCGGTGGTGGCGGTGGTGCTGGTGCTGGTGGTGCTGGTGCTGGTGGTGCTGGTGCTGGTGGTGCTGGTGCTGGTGCCGGTGGTGGTGCTGGTGCCGGTGCCGGTGCCGGTGCCGGTGCCGGTGCCGGTGCCGGTGGCGGTGGTGGTGGTGGTGGTGGTGGTGGAGGATCCGATGCCAAAGGCCAAAAAGCTGAACTCCAACGGTTCTGATATTTCCAAGACACTGCCAGCCTCATACGTGAGACCTTCTCGCTGAAGCCCTGCCCGAGCAGCTGCGAGGATCAGGTCCAGTTTCTCCTTCACATCGAGCCGCTGCAAGACATAGCGCTGCCTCTCAGGGTTTCCAGGGCTCAGGGATTGGGCTTTAGGGTTTTATGCTTCAGGGTTAGGAGCGGTTAGGAGTTAGGAGAAACCCTAAACCATTAACCCCACACCGGAACCATATCTGCAGTTATCTTGGCACGTAAGGCTTCAAGTCGCAGACCGGTGCCTCTGGTTCAGCTTCATGACCGGTACATCATGAGTCATGTGGCAGAAATTGCAGCCCTCCACATGACACGCACCGTTCTTGGCCATGTAGATGCATGGTCGGGCGCAGAGGGATGGATGTCCGCAGCTGCCCGGGTTGCAAGGCACCATGTGGCTTGGAATTGCCATGCTGCAGCTTGGCACTAGACGAGAACGCCACAAAACGAGCCGAAAAACTACGACAGCAAAGATGCTCGGCCTTCAATTCAATAGACATCCTTTCCCAAACTCAAAACTGGTCACAGGCTGATTTTAGTCAGCTGCGAAATTTGGCTCAGGCTTTAGGGCATTAAGGCTCCGTAGGGCCTAGGGTTGTAAAGAGTTCCGTTGAGGACGTTAAGAGTTGAAGCTCTTTCAAGAGCAATGGCTTTGGGCTTCTGCAACAACTCCGTTATCACAGCAACCCAGCATTTTGACCAGAGAAAACGCCCGTAACCTCATCAAAAACACTGACACCCCGTGCCCCTAAACCGGTGAAGTGGACACCAACATCGCACACTGCCGCAGAACCCGACGGGCCTTCTTGGCACCCGGCTCCTCAGGGAGCGTCGGTGGGTTCTGAAACTCTTAGAGTTAATTCTGACCTCCATTGGCCTGAAAGGCTGGGCCCTTGCTAATAGGCGGGTTTTAGTTTAAGTTGCTGTTATAAAAAGGAAACCCTATTATTTACCAAAGATCCCTTTTATGGCAACTTGAACAAAAATCCCTTAGCAAGAACCCAGAAGACTGCGAGCATCTTCTCGATAGGTATGTCAAGACTCTGCTACGACTCCTCATACACATCCTCATCCAACTGCCTATGACTACGTCAACAACAACCTTCAAACCGTTCAAATGATTGGAGCCTACTTGGAGGTTCATGGGTAGTTACAAGTGGGGCGAAAAGTCCCCTGATATGCATCATAACTTTCTCCTAACTCTAGTTACCTTAGTTGTAACTCCCACTTATACCTAATTACCCTGATCCTCCAAGTAAGCCATTACCCGAAACTTGAGCCGCAACCCCGACCTCATCTGACCGGTGTTGATTACGCGCTTTATGAATAAGTGTACGACCACCGCCATCACCGCCATCACCTTTTGATACAACAGGCATTGCTTTTAGGGCCATTCTCCACCAGGTTCGGAGGCGCAGCCTAACTCTGTACCCAGATTCGGCCCGTAACGCTGCGACCTACACGGTAAACTCTAAACCCCAAACCTTCAGACCCTAACCTCTACACCCCTGAACCCTAAAACCCCGAACCCTAACCCCTAAAACCCTAAACCGTAGACCAAGGCCTCTTCCGGGGTTCGCTCAGGGGCCTGTGGGGACGCCTGGCGCTGTCGACAGCTGCATGCTTCGCATTTCGAGTTTTGGCTGGAGCAGATTCAGTATTTAATTTGGAGTATACCCGTAGGCTCCATTGTAATTAGTTCCTTTTTGGGGTTACCTTATGGCATCCTAAATTTTAGTCACAAAAAGAAACTACAATGGAGCCTATGGGTACTGTTTAAGTTTCGTGTTTGGAGTTTAGAGCCGCGGGTCTAGCATGGAGAGCTTCTGCTTGGTGATTTTGGCCCAGGTTCGTGTTTTTAAGTCTTCAGGGACCAGGTCAAGGATACATGCTGTTAGAGTTGCAGCTACGAGTACAGTAGTAATTTCGCGCTAGTTGCGTTTGGGGT